GGTCAGGAACACAGTAGGAATGGCCAGTACTGTATATAAGCCAGGGCAGCGGGGAAGGTGAAGCTACAAAAAAAAGCATAGTAACAGGCAGTTAACATTCAACTTGTATTATCCACAAACTAATAAGAAAGTCTAACAAGACAAAGATTGAATTTATCACGTATTTAATTTGAAAGCAGTATCAAGTTATCTTATAATGTTAATGATGCATGTTACACTTCAATTAGGTTACTTAAACATTACTACACAACTAAGCTAGGTTAACAGTAGGCTAACAGTTAGCTAGCTGCTGTAGGCCTATGTTAACGGTTGCTAATGTTAATCTATCAAAACACACAGTCGATAGCGTTAATGTTAGCTATAAAGCTACCTGTTTAAGTATAATATAATACACCCAAGGCTGTAAATGAGCAACTTACTTAAAACGGAGAGCCGTGGAGAACGCTCACCTCACGACAGCGGAGATACGCAGGCAGCTGGTCCTTCAGATTCTGAATGGAAAATGGAGGGAAAAGTGGCGGGCTGCTTGTGTATGCACATGCGCAGACAGGACAGTATATGTGGTAATTCAATTGTACATATTTTTTTCTAATTAGGCTACTTTTAAATGAATTAAATGAGCTAATTTTAAACAGTGACAATATATATTAAGATTAATTAAAAAAGATAAGAAGGATGCAATAACACATTCAAATCTATTAAAAAAGGCTAGATTAAAACATGTAACATCTAAAAGGGGTCATAATCAGTTTTTTCAGTGTGTTTTGATGTGAGAAATGACAAAAAGATGGTTCCAGAATGATTCAGAAGTGGGAAAATGAGTAAAGCAACCTCTGGGTTAAAAATAACCCAGGCAGGTGTTCAACTGCAATTGAAGCCCTAATAACCCCTTTGACCCAGCATGAACAACCCACCAGTGTGTTTACAGTATCCCAAATAACCCATAATTATGACCCAGCCAAATCAACCCAGCAATGTGTTTATAGAAATAACCCAGCATTCCTTAGAGTGTACTTAACCTGTGTTACCTTGAATTCTTTAACACTTTTCTTGCGTGCCTTTATGTGGTTTTATTCCCAAACCTCACAATTTAATACACTTCGGCCTGGATCAGTAGCGTGAACTGTTGAGGCTTTAGACTGTATGTGGAAGTGGTATTATATGTGTCCCCATTTACTTAAATTCATCACCAATTTTTCTCCATTTTTGGATTATTTTTCCCTATGGAGACATGCAAGAAGAACAACGTTTTCTTTAAGAATTCAAGATAACACGGAGGTATGATTTATAAAGAAATCTATTTTTATGGGGGTGAAGTATTGCTCCAATCACTCAGGCAGCGTGTCTTTTTTTTTATTCTTATGGTATCTCTATTTTGTCAAATTTCCCATTAGGCTGCACCCAGCTTTCACCCGTTGTGATCCCTGATTTGAGCTTATTGTTGCTTCTAGTTTCCCTCTCTGAGATCAGCATCCTGGTTGCAGCAGTTGGCGGCGCCTGTGGTATCATCCTCATCCTCCTCTCTATCTTCATGGTGGTGAAGTTCTGCAGGAGAAAAAATGTGGAGTGTGACCCTGAGATGCAAGTGCGGGAACACGAGTGGAAGGACCCGACCGTGTGGTGAGGGCCGGAGAGGCAGAGCTCCTCTTCTTCTCGGGACTGGTGTCGAGCCTGATTGGCTGCTTGGATCCAATCTGCTGGAAAAGACAAATGAATGTTGAGGGTGGGGATGCATCTTTTTTTCTTCCATGTTTGCTCCTCCTATGTGAACCTCCTCGTTATTATTATAGTTTGCCTCCTTCAGTATTAGAGCTTTAATATCCGATTTGTAGTAACGCCAAATTATACACTTTCATATGTTTTTTACCAAAAGTTTGCCAGTGATTGTAATTACTTGCTTAATTTTATTGAGAATTTTATAAACTCTCGAGGAGATGTACATATGAAGATTTGTCTTCCTTCCTACAGTACATGCTGTTCTTGGAGCTTGTTAATTGACCTCAATTCACTCCAGCAGTGCATTAGTTTACCTTATTCTCTATTGACTCTTTTATCATATTACCATGTGATTTAAAAAATATATATTAGTTGAATTATGTGTTTTATAGAATTACACTTAAATTAACTAATAACTTTAAACATATCATTGATCACATCCCTAAATTGCAGAAAGAGCATTTCAAACATCATACTGCTGCAGTGAATTAAATTGTATCTTCTCGACTGCCTGCTGTTTACGTTTTGAAGCTATGGAAGATAAGCTGAAACACTTTTTTTTCCTGGCAAAACATTTCCTTCTAACTGTGAGCAGTAGCTGCAACAACAACTGGTGCTTCACAGTTTGTGCCACTTTGATCTGTGACTACAGGTGAACACTTTGAGACCCAGAGAACCATGAACTGGATTTGTTGGAGAAATGTTCACAAATTCATGTTATGGTCCTCTTTGTCCACGGAAAGAAGCAGTACATCAATTCTCCGCAGTACTCTGGGTTTGGTTAAAGGCTAGGATTTTGGGTATTGTATTCTATAAAGCCTCCATATTTGTTATTTTGCCTTTTTTTACACTTTCCCTGCTGCCGGATATCCATGAATAGTCTGTTTCATTGTTAGCTTGTGTGTGATGGATTTTTTTTTTTGCGTGGGTTGCGTCAGTTCACCTGAAGAGGCCATTCATCTAACAGTTTTCAAGGAGAAAGAACCTGTTAGCTCAGATGATGAAGCGTCTGAACCCAGCAGTGGAGATGATGATGAGGAAGAGGATGGCCTTGAAGGTGACGATGATGATGACGATGATGACGACGATGACGACGATGGTGGAGATGACGGCGATGATGATTAAATGGACACACTGAAACAATTATAATCGTCTTTCCCGGTATAACGTCTGCCTTTCTGCATCTCATGAACATGATTTAAATGGTTATGTGTGATTTATTGTACAATTTTCAGAGTTTCGTGCATTATAGTCACCGAATTACAGTATAAATAAGAGTAGATGCGGAATGCCCATCCTAAAATTGCTGTTTTTCTAACAATAACTCACCCCGTACCTTAAATTCGTAAAGAAAAAGTAGTTCTTTATTGCGTGCCTCAAGTGTGGATTAAGAACTCAAAATCTTAAAAAAGTTATGATGAATTAAAGCAAACAGCAATACTTTGTACAAACTAAATTGTTTACAAACCCTCAAACAACTATAAGCAGACTTTGACATGTACAATTGGCAGAGTTCCCCTTTTAAGTTCTGTTTGATGTACTGTATGGATGTGGATTGATTGAAGTGAGTTTGTTGTACATGACTCCTGTAACTTCGCTTATTTGTTGTGTGTTTTTTTCTTACTAGATTTCCATACAACTGCTGCTGGAATTCTATTGCCTCAGATCAATTTAGTGAAAACTCGTGAATTTTCATGTCAAATAAATGGTCTATGGATTTTCCAGAGAGAAGAGTCAGTTTAATTTGGCTCATTGCTTAAACTTCCACTTGCTAGTGGACACATTGTTTTTTCTAACCTAGTCATAAATGTTTCTCCGGTTTAATCTTTAAAAGCATCAGCCGAGGGTACACAAATCCTCATTTCAGAGAGAAACGGTTTACCTGTGTTGCCCATTTGAGTGATGAACAAAGCAATGTGTTTAATAGATTGTATAAATGATTTTGTATTGAGATTTTGTACATAGTGTAAAATAAGCAGAACTTCACACTTTAAAAAAAAATATTAATCCTAGAACTGTTGTCATGTCTATCTATTTTTAACCTATGGAATAAAGAAATGTTTTTAAGATTATTGAGCAGTATGAAGTGTATTTTGATTATTTATTTTTGAAAGAGTATAGTGTGTGGGAAGAGACCATGGTCTGTAGGCTTACAGATTGAGTGAGTGTGAAATTCCATCAGCCACTCCTACGTACGTGTACGTGTGTCACACAGGACAATGAGTAACACTCACACTTCCTGGCCTGAGTGAATCTCAGTTTATTCACCTTTGGATCTTGTAGTGCAAACATGGAGCTGCCTGTGACTCGGAATTACTTTGTTTTCTATACAGGCCAAATTATTCTCACTATTTAAAAGGTTGAAGGATCTTTTAACACCTACTGAACAAATATATAAATACCAGGCATTGATGTTTTGACACTTGCATTATAACTCACTGGAACATGAGTGTTTTTCCAGTGCAGGGATTTGAGCACTGAGTCATAAAAACAACAGTAGGGGCATGTAAGACACTCGCCCCCTGGTGGTAACATAACCTCCCCTTTTCATTGTCCTTAATATAAGGGGGGTTTTACTTAGTATTATTTGTTTAACTTCAATCCATGCTTTCATATCCGTCCTACTAAAACAAAAAAACAGTGCAGTCAATATAGTTATTCAAGTCATGTTAGAAAGGGACTCTGGCTGGGGCATGTGGGAACCTGCCTGGAATTACACAAGTTCTCCTCGCGGATTCTTTAGTTCAGTTTGCATTGTACATAGTACTTTGTATGAGATGCCGTGCTAACAAATTAAAAGAAGCAGTAGTTTACTCACTTTTTTCATTATAGTACTCTAACAACTACTGAATAAAAAAAATGGGTTTGGGTTTATCAAGCTGTGTGTGCCTTTATACTGTAGCTATAGTAGGCATACGTAGGCCTATGCACAGAAAGAAAAATAAATATATTCTGCTATTTATCATTCTGGGTGTTTTTTGTAATTTGTGTAGCCTAGAGGTAGAATGTAACAGCACATCTGCTCAAGTGCCATCCTTGAGTACAATTTATGCTACTTGTATTAGGCTATACTTCAGTATTAATTCTTCTGAATAGCCTCCGCTTCACTTAAAAGTGCAATGCCTATGTTAGCAGTTCCACCAAAGAGTAATTCCTCTTAACTGCTCAAATGTAATTAACTTGGGGGCAGCATAAAGAAGATGGAAACAGAACAATAACAGCTCTTCAAATTCTGAGTTAATATTTCGAGCTTCTTGGCATACGTTGCTTATTTAGCAGCATTAGCATAGTGTTTATAGCCATCTGATAAAGGTAAGTCCAATATTAACTCTCTTTTTAGCTCTATTAGTAGGCCTACCAGTAGGATGACTTGCTCTAGTGTAGCACCAAATAAAGCTTCTCATGTATTAAATGAGTTGTTTTCCTTTAGAGAAAACTACATTCTGCTAACTGTCACCCCTAATGTAGGCTGATTCACAAACTGGGGCTAGTTCAGTTTAGCCATTAAACATTTAGCTACTTACGAACTTGCTGGGTTTTTGGAACTTTTGGAAGGTATTTGCCTTTTGAAGATGACGATATGGGTGACGGTTTGTTTGTTCGTTTGAAGTTATGTTTTGGATGAAGCCTTGAAATGGTACAACACAATATAACATTTGGGGAGATGTTTGTTGTTTGAGTTGTTTGCCGTTTCTGGGCACAAGCAGGTCACAGTTTGTGGTAATACTGGATTTTAATGTCGGTTTCCCCCCAGGCAAAGATGCTTTCATTATTAACAGATTCTAAACACATGTGCAATCTCTGAAACACCTTTGAAGAACTAACTGGTGCCAGATAAATCCGTGTATCTATTAAACACGTATATGGAAGAGCGTCTGAGTGGCGTTTTTGCTTTTTGCTCTTTACCTTATTAAATGGTCAAATGGTCATTGGAGCGAGGGGCGGGGCAAAACTCACGGAAGTGATTTCAAAACAAAAGCACTTGTTAGCTAAAATCACACTTGGAATCACTCCAGTATCCTGCTGAAGGACCGGTGATTATTATAAACAGGGGGAATTTACCGATCACAACGAAAACGGCCGGCCAAGACACATATTG